AACATTGGTTGTAGAACAACCATTTTGTCTCTAATGTTATTTCTCTATCTTTAGGCTTAGAACAGGTGCATGATGCAGTGGAGCAGTCGCTTCTCAAGGAAGTCGCTATACTGCGCGAATGTCAGGACAAATTCCGCAATATGCTCGAAAAGGTATGTTACCACAATGCAACGGTATTATAAGTAGGTACATACATTAACATCAACAGGGTGCTTACTCTTGAAATCAATCTCAATGTCAATGCAATTTCAAATCCAATAAAATCTCAAAAATTATTCAACTTCAAAACTATACAACCACAATCACAATAGCATTCGTAGTACGGAATATAGAGCCAAACTCAATACCATTTAGTTCATTCAATATCCACGCAATACGGATTCAATGGGCGCTAGTGTTGCGACTCAAGGGTACGAAATATCACAATACCTATGTCGATCGATCGGAAAAAATTGGATTCAAGAGTAAGCCCCCAGGTCTTTGGAGGAACTTTATGCACATATTCCCTATAAACCAGGTGCGGGCACAATCCAAGAACTGTCGTGCGACACAGCATGAGTTGGAAACCGACATGCGCAACAAGGAGTACGCGCTCGGCATAGACTCCATGTGCCACCAACTGAATAACTTCTCCAAGGTACAGAGTTAACACATCGTTCTAGTAAGCACATTCTTAGGTAGCTATAATAAAGCCCACTAGCCTATGAAGTTGTATTAGGTAAAACCACAGAATAAGATAGACAGAATAATAATACCCAGTAGAACCTGGGTACGTCGTAAGACTGCGACCAGACGTTGAGCGATGGGCATCAACAGCTTTAACATTTTTAGTAACTTCAAAGTATCTGCTAATGCGGGAAGATCCTGATAAACTCTGTAGTAGAAGAACTCCATTCAATATTGGGTATCTTCTAACTGATGAGGTAGATGTTTTTATTTTAATGTCCGTCTGGTAGATTATTTTATATCATGAGACACGTATTTTTTATTTTCTTACAGAAACGAATACTTTCGATGATATAGTGATTTGAAATGTCGCGTGACGTCGCTATGTACATCTCGGAACAATAACTAGGCATGGAAGCCAGGCTAAAATAGTAATTTACAAACGTATATCTGATGCTCTCGCTCTTTACACAATTTTGCGTAGGCGAGAATGAGACCGCAAACTAAACATAGTTCATAACAATTTGCAGGTTGTCACAACTTTCAGTGGACTCATTACAATCTTATGTCATTGGACTTATTCAGCATACTACCAAATTCAAAATCACGTTTTGACGTTCTATGTTTCACAGTTTCACTCAAGTTTGACACCTTCCTCACTTTGCCGGATTATAGTACTGAAGTGTCACCGTGGTTGTATTTACGGCTCCTGATTATAAAAAATGTTTTTTATGGAATTAGCGCAAAAGAAAGGAAGAAAGGAAGTGTATGGTCGTTCTTTATTATGTGTTTTCCTTAATAAAAATACGTCTTGTGTGATTGACGGCTGCAATTCACATTTAGGAAGAAAAGAAAACAGTGGTGAAAAAATACACTTTCATTCGTAAGTTTTTGATATGTTTTAAAATAAATTATATTGGAAATACCGGTAAACTATAAATAAATGTTACTTATTTATTGTCGTACTTTTCAATTGTAAGCCTAAACAGTATTATTCCATCTTTTCCTAAAAAATCTAAATCAATTTTCTAAGTCAGTTTTTAAGCTAGTGATGTGGTCATGTTACATATCGATATTTTAGTTAGGCTTTGAAGTTCTTTATAGTATAGACGTCGTTTAGAACCCGAATCACATGATACCTTTGATGATTTGACAGACCACGACTACATTTTGTACCCATCATCTATTACGGAATATTCTAAAAATGTCATAGAATACATAATCGGCTTTATTGGAAAGAAATTAAAAAATCTTTACAATGCGAAAAATGCATAGAAAGTCTTGAAAACACGGAGAGTATTCCTTAAAGATCTTTGATATCTTTAAATATAGAGGTAGAAGAGGCCTATTTAAACCAACATATGGCTTAACCAAGATCTGTCAGCTGACCGAAAAAATTATAAGAGAATATCAAGTGCATATTGATTCAAAATCTCTCGGTAAACCAAAATAATTATTAGATTGATTAATAAAGTTTCAGCAAATGTGTTGCCGTCAGAAAATTTTCGAGAAAAAAAAGATTATTCATTAGAACAATCTTTCTATGTTGATCACAGAAATCTTATAAAGTCCATAGCACAAAAATATTTTAAACTTAGGATACATTTTAACAAAGACAATTATATTTAAAAGTCAATGATAAACACATAATAGTGCACCACTACCACGGTTTGTAAATATGCTTTGTTTGTGAGCAATTAAATTATCTTTTTAATATTGTGTTTTATTTTTGAACCCACGACATCCAGATTAAGAACCTAATGTACGTTAGACCACAGCAGCAAAACTTTCAGGTACCATAATTTATCGATAAAATATATTAATTTATTCCCATCACTAGCATATTTACAAGTAGTGACAACCTGCATAATAACGAAACGAAACAATACACATATCTCTTTCTTATACACTATCAATACCATAAGTAAAAAAAAGATGAATATATGGAGTGTAGTTGTTATTTTAGCCTGGCTTCCATGCTTTAGTTATTGTTCCGAGATGTACATTTTATACGTAAAAATGACGTTTTAGACCCCACTTCTAAACTTTGATTCGTTTTATCTAAGTGTTGTTTTATTATACGACAAAATAAAAAAATATGTGTCTGATAGTTTTATAAAGGTCTTGATGGAGTTATTGGCACCTGTATGAATTGTAAAATTAATGCAGATATGTGACTGAGGCGACTTTCTGGTGTATAGGGTCTTCAATTCTACGCGGGTATCGAGCGCTACGACCCGACAGTGTGCGACACGGAGCGCTGGGCGGCCGCCT